CTAGATGACATGAGAAATTACTTTCCCTTTAAACCCAGCAGTCTTCCATTCACTTTTTTTTTCACTGTTACACTTTTCTGTCGATAACTTTTACTTCCTTCTCTTGGTGGCGAGAAGGTGATGGGCACAGTTTGGATTCAGTGCATTTACGGTGTCTCGGGGAGATCCAACCAGACAGGAGTTCAGCGGCGAGGTCTAGGCTAAGACAGGGAAGTAAGTGTCAGGTGGTGCCACTCCCCTGAGAGTTCTCCTGGCGGGAGCTTGGCAAATAAGAGCGTTGCCATGAAGGAGACTGAGAAGTGGCCCCCGTGAAGGGGGGACCTGGGTGCGCCACGTCTCAGGAGCTGTGGAAGGACAGGATTTCAGCATGGCAGCCACAGTCAACAGTGTGAATGTCCCAGGGAGTAGAGCAGACATCTGAGAAATCCACTGGATTTGGCAAGTAGGCGGTCTTTGGTCACCAGGGCCACAGCAATTTCCAGGGGCCGGAGTGGGATTCAGGTAAAGCCATGCTGCGGTGCATTAAAGACTAACTGTGGGGGTGAAATTGCAGAGTCTGCAATTTGGACAAGGGGAGCAATTTTGAAGACTAGGGGAGCAATACCGTAGAATTCACGGTGACAGTTGGGTGAAGGCAGATTTTTATTTTTGACTTTTGAAGCTGGAAGGGATTTGCCCAGGGAGAGGGGAGGGTTGGAGAATCTAGGGGGAATTCCTAGATCAGCAAGAGCCAGAAGAACCAGCGGGCAGGCATCTGGACACGGTGGCGGGGCCGGCGCTGAGCGGGGAAGAGAACCTTTTCCTACCTGGCAGCCTGCGGGCCTCCGGGCCTGCCTTCTGCCCTGGGTGCCCTTTTTCCCTCTACAGGGTTCACCCCTCCTCTCTCAAAAGCAAACCAGAACGCTCTCTTCTTTCCTAATATCTTCCCTGACAAGCCACCCACAGGACTGTGCAAAGCAGAGCAGCAAGACGGGTGAAGCTTGGCATCTGCAGTCCGAAGACAGCTTCGACATTTTTTTTTTGCTTGACTTCCTGGCTGTGTTACCCTTCCTGAGAAGCCATTTCCTCATCTTCAAAATGGGAAAAAATACTGTATTTCATAGGTTTTTCTGAGCATAACTTAAGATAACATATGAAATCACTTTAAAAAAACTCAAAAGGGAAATGTGATTAGGTAGCTTCCATTTTTCATTTTCTGTTGGGTAGGGGTTGGTTAGCTTGCTTGCTGGCTTGTTTGTTCTGGTCTGTGTGTAATTACTATGGCAAAGTTATTTGTCAAAGACTTACTACGCGACAGACCCTCTGCGGCTCTCAGGATCCGGTAATGTTCCAGTGACCAGGAGACCTGGCCATTGCTGAAATGTTCTCCACAGCCACTGGTTTCTGACTTGGCAGCTCACATAGGGTCACATGCCTTTGCTGTTTGGGGGCATAAAAAAAAAGGCGTTTATCAAGACAGACATGGATTCTGATGGTGGTTTACAACTGTAATGAATTCAAGTCAACAGGGAGCCAGTTCGCAATAACCACAGTGTAACTGAGAACAGCTTAGAATAATCTAATTTTCCACTAGGTGACAGCAGAGCCCATGGTATTATCTTTAATCATTGTTCCTCTCTAACAAATAGGTGTTTGAGAACCTTCTGGAATAAAAAAAAAAAAAAGATCCTGCCATTCTGGAGGGAGTAATTACTGCTAAAATGATGATAAATGGTTTTTGGATGTCACTGTTGGTCTCCTGAGAGAGCTAAACTCCAGGTTTTTTTTTTTTTAAGGATTTTAGCTTTTGACATTCTAAATCACCTGAATTTATGGAAACAACTACAGCAATAATAAAAAGAGCTAACATTTATTAAGCATTTGCTACATGTCAGGCACTGTTACAAGTGTGCAGGGCCCTGAGGCTACCCTCCTTAGAGGCTTCACAGGGACCAAAAGCCCCTCTTCTAATGAAGAGCTAAGCCCTCCCCAGTCCCGCTCCCGTAACCACAGCGCTAACTGCACAGACATGTGCCTACAGTTTAACTACCCTGCCTGGGAGAGGAGGAGTTTAGTTGAGCAATTAATAGTTTAATCAAAAGCCCTTTACAGGGTTGTATAAATAATTCCAGTTACAATGGCTGTTTCTCAGAGCACCTGTCTTCTTTTTTAAAAACTTTCTTCCTTAGACTCATGTGGACCCTTGGTTGGGTCTCCGGTAGTGGTTCCCTCGTCTTGGGAAAGTCTGGTGACTTTCTGGGTGACTCAGTGGAGTCTTTATTCAGGCCCCGAGGCTGCGAAGCCAGGCAGAATGAGTTTGACGCATGTAGCACAAACCTTAACCATCAGAAGGAAGTGGAAATTACAGGGAGTGGCTGGCATTTGACTCCGTCCCCTAAATGACTCCTAAACACTCATCTTGATCCTGAGCAGAGCAAGGACCGAGGAGTAAAATGACAGGGCTGTTCTGGGAACATGCTGACCCACAAGCAGCCCTGCTTTGGCTTTTTTCTATCAAAATACAACACAGAAATCAGAGAGCCCTTCTAGCCGGTTCCTACCCAGCCACCTACACAGCTTGTTAAATTTTGAAATTATTTCTATATCTGAAAAATGCTGTATTAAGTGTAGACAAAATTTCAAAAGGCACAGCAGAGCATAGAGTTAAAAAGCAAGTTTTCTCTCCCACACCTGTTCCCCACAGGGACCCACTGTAACCAGTTACCAGTTTCCAACGCTGCTCAGCTTTGGCATCTGGAGAGAAACGCCGGGCTTGGCAGAGTGACAGCAGAGATGCTGGCTCCTGACCCAGTGGCTAGGGGTAGCTCGGTAGTGGAGCCTGTTAACATGCGAACATCTCCTAATGATTCTCTGGGGCTCAGAGATCATGGCGCATGGAAAATAAGCCAGGGAAAATTGAGAGTTAATGATAAGATGGCCTTATTTGTACCCATAGACTGGTGCGGCCTGGGCAAATTCAGTGTACTATTATTACAGAAATAGCCCATGTTCTCAGATGAAAGTTTAAAAATACAGACAAGTGTATCTCCTTATGTAAGTGCATATATATACACTTATAAATGCACATACACATATATGTGCACTTTCATATGTATCTCTGATTATATACTGGATGCAGTTCTTTCCTGAAATATGGACCCAAGAATTAGCAACCAATGTCTCCATGAGCAAAGAGCTGAGATTCGTAAGATCACTAGGAGTCTCATCGCACAATGTCGGCTGGAACCGTGAGAAGAAACAGCCACTGAGCAGCGGCAGCCAGGCTGGGCAGGCGCACGCCAGCCCCTGGCACTGGCCCAGCGTGCGTTCCCAAGAGTGAGCGCTGAAGAAACCTTCCCTGCTGAACATCTTTTTCTGTGTCTTTGCTGCCTTTCCATTCTTGTGGCTCCTCCTGCAGCATCTTCTTGATCTCCACTGTTACTCCTCTTCTGCCCTCGACCCCTTAACGGGAAGCTTCCCCAAATCTTACACTTGGGCATCTTTTTTTACATTCTCACTTATTCAACAAACATTTGAATGAGCCAGACACCCCATTACCTCCATTCAAATGACTCCAGACACGGCTGAGCACCAACAAGACATCCAAGTTCTAGACGAGACATTTCTGATTGTCTGGTGCCCTTCTCCACCTAAGGTCACCCAAGACCATCTCAAATGCAGTATGTTTAAAACCAGACTCACCACTTTAGCCTTCAAACACAATCCCTTTTCTGTCTTTCCCATCTCTGCCAAGACCAGAACCCTCCCCCTAGCATGGGCTTAACTGCCAGCATCACCTCGTTCCCTCCTCCCGTCTGGCCAGCCGATCTCACTCTGGGCATGACAGCGTGCCCGCTCTCCCCCCCCCCCAGCAGGCCTCCTCGCACCTCACTTCCTACTGCAGGGGTCTGTTACCTCGGTACGCTGAGTGCAACCAGGCTGCGCCCCACTGAGCATCCTCTACACTGCTGCCTAGTATTCCTAAAACTCAGATCTAATCAAAGCAGTTCCCAGAAGAGAAGCCTTTATTTTAATAGTTCTCGACTGAGATGTCCATCAAAATGCCCAGGAGTTTTGAGAAAGTGCAGATTCCTGAACTGCCAGTGAGACTTACTGACTGAGTCTCTGGGAGGCGGGGCTTGGGCTTGTGAACTTTGAGAAAGCGCCTCCAGGGATTCTGATGGAGACACGTGGTTAAGAGTCACTGATGTAACGGAACCTCAGTGTCTGGTGAATAAAGCTCAGATTTCTTACTGTGATATTTAAGGCACCAACTTTTGCTCAGAGCCTTATCTCTTATTCCTTACATACCCTGGAGTCCGGCCACAACTGACTACAGCAGTGACTGTTTCCTGAATGCCTCCTGGCGTCACCCCTCTCGTTGGTCTGTTCTTGCTACCAGGAATATCCTTTCTCCTCCGCTTCTTTCTCTCTCAATTACATCTTTTCTTCAAGGGTAAGCTTAAATGAGACTAACCCAGGAAAAAGGACATTTAAAGTACTTAGAAGAGCTCTTACGTGATTCATCAGCCCTCCATAAATACTAGTTAATGCGTTACTATGATGAGAATAAATTTTAAAATCCTACCTCCGTGAATCTTCATCTTTCCCTAAATCAAAACTACTCTCCCCCTCTTTTGTATTCCCATCACACTTTGTTTCCACTCCTTTTAGGGTACCAGTCAGAGCCTACTTCGCTTTCCAGTGATTTTTGCACCGGCCTCAGCTCTCCTGATGACGTACAACCTTGCTGGCAAACTGTCTTGGTCACGGACCACATCATATTCAAAACCCTACTGTCACCACTTTGGTCTCACTCTCAGTATATGCTCAACAAATTTTTACTCTTTTAAACTGAGTTCTACATGATCTATGTTAACTACCAGCCCAGGCAGAACCAGATGTTCAGGGGAATTTCCAGCCTTCCTGCCCAGCAGGTCTTGTCTCAGGGCTGAGCAGGAGAGAAGCCTGACTCGGGGTCCTTTAAATTAAAAGTGGCAAAGAGAATTTCCAATTAGAGCTGGGAGAAGACGATGTTAACATTTGTCTGAGCACACACTGTCTGCCAGGACACGTGGTCTGTTTGCCCTTGGAGCAGCTGTGTGGTGTGGGCTGCTTCTGGCCTACCTTGTGTTCTTCCCTCCCGGTGTTTGCTTAATGTAACATTTATGCCTGACATTTGCTCAGCACACCTCTCCAGTCCTTTCTGAGCCTTGGAAAGAGGAAACAGTTCACTGGGTGGCAACATCAGGCACTCAGATTCTCCTCTGAGAATTCAGGACCAGAGGCCACTGAGCAGGGCAGAATTTGTGACTGATGTGTTAGCAGTGCTCTTTGAAAAGTATAACGTACTTTTTGTTAAAAGTCAAATAAATTGGATCATTTGTCATTATTATCAGCCAGGTGGATACTTCAATTGTTTTAGGAGGGTGAGTTTCATAGAGCAGCGGCCTTACCCAACTGCACACCCCCGGGAGAGGTGAGGGTATGGGTCCATGGCATTATGTCCCTGTGTGCAGTACCAGAAATGTAGGTCCATTTTGCTGGGAGAAGGGACAAGAGTGGCTCTCTGGGCACATGCTCCCATGTTGGAAGGTTACCAGCACTAGGTAACTAGGTGACTAGGGTGGCCATGTAATTTACTATTCAAACTGGGCCATTCCAAACAACAGAGTAAACTGGGACTCTCTCAGGCAAACTGGGACCTTAGCTATCAGAGCACAGATCATCCCAGTGGGAACTGGGTCAGTGACAGCCACTTTCAACAATAGACAAGTGCCAACAGACAGTATGAGTCCTGAAAGCAAGTACAAGGATTCTCTGAAAGTGCTGGATTCATCCTGAACAAAGCTAAGGGACTGACTCAATAAGTCTCTGTACTGTGACCGAACGTAAGGGCAGGCTTCTCGATTAAAAAAGCATGCTCTGGGTCAGCTGGGGAAAGTTGGGGCTCTCCTGTAAACACTGCCCTGTGGCAACGGGGAGGCATGGACTCCGCCTGGACACTGGGGCTGATACGTGAACCTGGGGGTGGGGGTGGGGGTTGTCACACTACATGCATCTGAAGTTTTCTGGACTCCCCAGCCAAAGGTCTTCCCAGGGCCTCTCCATATCCTGACCTTGTCTTCAAGGCTCAGTCAGAGGTGAACTGCTCTGTGAAGTATTCTTGCTGTCCTTCAAATCCCATCACTTTCTCCCTCCTCAGAACCACTTTAGCCTTCTCTACTATGGATTGTTGAGATTTAGGGAGAAATTCATCACCAGCCCAACTAGAAGGCACCTCTGCTCACTTTAAACCCCTGTAGCACTGAGAAGCTGTCTAGCCCAGTTGGCCCTTGGCACATGCAGCTGTGTACAGACGGGTAACTGTCCTTTTGCATGGACTGTTTCGTTTTCCCAAAATTGTTTGGGCATATGAACCATATGGTATTATTCCCCCT